ATAATATTACTAAGTAAGGTGATGAAAAACATACAGAGAAAAACTGCTGCATTATGCAATTCTTTTTAAAACCCATGATGATGGAGGAAGTGATTAACTGGTGTTAAACCTTCATACAGTTTATTTTTAGATGTAGTGATGTTCATAACTGTCAGTTCTGTTTTCAGCCTTTCCTGTGAGAACGTTCAGCTCTAAAGATCTTTTAAAGATTCATACAATCAACTTTCTGACTAAAGCTGAAATCTACAGCCGCCATGATCGTGGCAGAAGCTGGATTTTTGTTTTTGGGTTTCATTCTGTGTCTCTCAGGTAGGAATGATTCTTTCTCCTCCTTCCTCCTTACAGGTCTTAGCGTTTTAGCTTTGATGAGCTCTTGAAGAGTCTGGAAGTGCAAGATTATTTTCTTTTATGGTACAATAATATCAGTGGTGGCAGTGTCTGGCAGCCTCGCCTCTGTCAGTGCACCCCAGGGTGGCTGTGGCTACAATGTAGCTTGCCATCACCAGTGTGTGAATGTGTGGATGACTGGTTGTGTAAAGTGCTTTGGGGTCCTTATGGACAAGTAAAGCACTTTGTTGAACACATAACCTTATCTTGAGCAGTTATGCATGCGTGTGTAGGGCTTGCTGAGCCTTGGTCTCTCTCCCTTCTTCTCCTGCTGGGATGTGTGTGCAGATATTGCCAAGAAGTGTGGCCTCAACATACCAGTACCGGGCCGCGAGAGTTGAGGCTGGGGTGTGAAATTTATGGTTTTCAGGGTTTTTATTGTTAACTTGGCTTAGCTGGGTCTTTTCCCGCGTTGTAGTTGTGTGTCTTATTTTGAAAGAAATATTTCCAAGTTACCATAGCGACCAGAGAGCATTAAGAGGCAGAGAGGAGGATATAAAATACTGGCTGACATTAAACCAGTCCGTGGCGCAAAAAAGGGGTGGGACCGCGGCTCTTCAGGGCTGCGGATGGCCCGGTTCTCCCGGTTCCATCTCTGTTTTTCCTCTGCCTCATGAGGGCGTAATTGTGGCATCCCACCCTCATTTTCAAGTACATTTCGTGAAAAAGACACACTCACACCCTGTAAGAATATTGTTAATTTATGTACCTGTACATTTTTGATTTTTTTGTGTTGAAGGTGTTCTCTGTTTCTTTTTTTACACGTGCATTTCTATTTGAACTCTATCCTTTTATTACATCTTCCTGTGTAATAAAAATAAATAATATAAAATAATAAAAATAGCTTAGGCTGCTGCCCCCGCGACCCGGCCCCAGATAAAGCGGATGAAGATGGATGGATGGATGGATAATAAAAATAAAATGTGACAGAACAGCTGCTTAAAGATTGCTGATACAAAGGATTGCAGAGACATGCTCATAAGAAGATAAGTATTCATTGATGTTGTGATAGACAAAAAGCTGCAGCTAACCACATTGTTGTTTCCCCAACAACACTTTAATTGTGTTTTGCATGTTTTTGCAGTTTTTTGTTTCTTTTTTTCTAAGCCATCTTAGAACACACAGACTGTGTGAATGTGAAAGCTGTTTGTGATTCCAATTATTTCTGATTGGGGTTGTAAGGTTCACAACAGAGTAAGGTCTTCATCATCACAGCTGTTCATGTTGATCGCTGATCTTCAGCCAGGAGATTCTGTTTCACCGCAGAGGTGTTACCATTATAAACCAGACACAGACAACAGTTTTAACCACTGCAGCTTCCTGCTCTTGCAAAAAAAAAACCTCAAAGAACACACCATTTGTAATATGATGAACAGAACAGACTAAAATGAGAGAAAGAAGTTCTGTTTTACTGTTCGATGTGTTAGACAGCTAAATATGAAACTGTTCAGTTAGCTGATGCACTTAGATTGTCTTTTTAACATATGAGCTGTTGTATTTATTTTCTCAACTGTCCATGTAGAAGCTACAACAATAATGCTGTGAACAAATGATGAGTGTCTTATACTGTGTTCATTTTGTGCTTTGCCTATAGGATATGAGTAATTATTGAGTATTGAATTATGATGAGTAAGCGCGATTATGGCTCAAGAGTTGGCAGTTCGTCTTGTAATGTCTCGGTCATTGTGTCCTTGGACAAGACACTTCACCTACTGCCTACTGGTGTTGGCCAGAGGGGCTGATGGTGTGATATGGCAGCCTCGCTTCTGTCAGTCTGCCCCAGGACAGCTGTGGCTATAATTGTAGCTTGCCTCCACCAGTGTGTGAATGTGAGAGTGGATGAATAGTGGAACTATAAAGTGCTTTGAGGGTCTCAAAAGTGCTATATAAATGCAGTCCATTATTATTTAGGAGTCATTAAACATGAATAAAAATAATTTAGAAAGTAGATACTGCATGGCTGTCTATAACTTAAAATACTTTCTCAAGTTATTTCTTACAGTACAGTACCAACATTATTTAACAATTAATGATAGAAAAGCAGAGAGTAACAAAAATAATGTATCTGTTCACTAATGAAAGTTTCCATTAAAGGTGTTAATGGAGGAGAAACCAGGATCTGTGCTTTCAAAGGTTCATCAGTGGATCTGCACTGCTCACATCAACATCTGACCTCAAACAGCAAATGGTTCACTGCACACTTAAATGGATCAGTGAGTGAGCTCTCTGTGGATGGACAACGTGTAACGTACAACATGTCTGAAGAGACAAAAACAACTTTAACCATCATTGATCTAAGAGAGAGTGATGCAAATACGTACTGCTGTATGAAGACTACAGACAGACCAGGAAACTGTTCACTCAGTAATATTACTCTTCAAGTTGTTACAGGTACAGTGACTTTTACTCATTAATAACTTTCTAAATGACATCATTGTATAAGTTGTTCTCCATCATCCTCTCAGAGCTGCAGGTAAAGGTGATTCCTGCCACAGAGGGACAGACAGTAACACTGACGTGCAGCAGCAGCTGTCCTCTGACTGAAAAGCCTGCAGCCTACATCTGGTACAAGAACAGAGAGTTTCTCTATGAGGACTGGTCTCCCTGGTACCAAGAGCTGCTCAGCAGTGAGGAAGCAGTCACATACTCCTGTGCTGTCAAAGGCTACGAGCATCTCAGAGCCCCTGAAGTCTCTGTGCGTGAGTCATGATGCTTATTGTTCTACAAAACAAACAGAATGAGTCACACAGTGAATCATTTTATTCAGTATTATGTCTTTGTTTCAGATTCCATCACAGAGACCTGCTTCAGTGTGACCTATGCTAAAGGGAGAATCACATATCCCAGAGGTAAAGTTTAAACAAATTATCAAATATCTTCCATCAAACCTCTAATATATATTTGTTCAATGTCATTTTCCTTATAAAAAAATTAAGCTAAATATGACCTTTGTTAATTTTTTAACAAAGGTCATATTTCGCTTAATTGACCGAATAATTTTTTTTGTTAGCATCCTAAAAACAAAATTAGAATTATAAACATTACGTTACAGTTACTGATGAAAACTGTATTTATTATCTTTCAGAGGTTCATGTTCAAAGAACGAATTACACATCAGATAGTGTCACACTGACCTGTAACACCACCTGTAAGCTGTTTGACCCTCAAACTGCCTACATGAGCTGCAAAAACACAAGCGGAAACTACAAGAATCAACAATGTTTAACTCACAACAATTCAACATACAAGTTCTCTTGTGCTGTAAAAGACCACAAGTACCTTCACTCTGCAGAAGTCTGTGAGTAATAAAGAAGTCTTTTTTTTTTTCTTCTAGTTAACTATAAATACAAATGTCAGCATACAGGCCATTTAAATAACTTTAAATCTTCCATCTGTATTTCAGGTGTTCAGGATAAAAACTGCCGGATTAGGAATTATGTCAGCAGGAGAATCTGTGCTCTGGAAGGATCTTCAGTCAACATCACAAGTGAATACTCACATCCTGATAACAGGAAGCCAGAGTTCAAATGGAGTAAAAAATGGAGAAAAGATGAAGTGGAAGTTGAAGAGCTGATTGAGGCTGCAGGTGGTGTGGAGTATCAGGACACCATGAAGAACCAACACATCCTGACCATCAACAACCTGAAGAAGAATGACTCAGGAGGATACACATTCAGATTCAACAAAGATCATGAAAGATGGACACAGTCTGATCTGCCTGGAGTCTTTTTGATTGTTACAGGTAAATCTTAGGTAAATTCATTGTATCTGTCAGTGCCATTTATAGGTTGTTAATCTGTAGGCCAACAAAACCCCTTTACAAGAAATTGATTTCGGCTTGCTGATGAAAAAAGCAAAGTGTATCAATACATTCATGTGTTTGATTTGCAGCTGTGGCTGTTTAAGGATCAGTTCATTTTAACTACCTTACATGTATACTGTTGATTAGATTAATCTACAGTAATAAAACTCTATCTGTAAGATCACCATTTCAAATGTTGACATTCTGTCAGATCAATGTATCTCTGAATAGTCGACTTTAAAAGGACTCAGACAACCTGCCTGTTTCTGACTCTAAAAATAACTGTTACATGTAATGTAGAAGGGTTTTAGGCTTCACATCCTTCAAGTTTTTTTCTTCTGTAAAAAATGCATGAAGGTATATGTAGTATTTTTATAGTTGTGCTTGTGTAAGATTTACACAGTTCTTAACAACTCTACATGTACACTGTTGGCTAGATCAGCCTTCAGTGCCTTCAGTGAAATAAATCATAGGTATGAATCATATGAAAATGTAGGAATTTAATTTTATTAGGAAAATGATTCCAAATCATAGTAAAAAAAATGGAGAAAACACTAATTTACAAAATGGAAAAAATGTTGTGGAGTAATAATTACAATACTTTTGTGTAAGAGGATTTAGATTGAAGTTACACAAATCTGAATTTACAAATACCTTGAATTTGCACACTTCTTTGGTAAATACCTTTCACCGCTGAACAGGACTAAAGGATCATTTTGTAGTAAAGTCATAAAACCATCTTTCATGTCTAAGCCACACAGGAAATTTTTTGTTTTTGACCAATGTTCCTCTTCCAGAGCTGAGAGTGAAGATGAGTCCTTCTGCAGTGGTGACAGAGGGTCAGAGAGTCACACTGACCTGCAGTACCAGCTGTCCTCTGACTGACAACACAAACTACATTTGGTACTTGAACAGTCGACCTCTGACCCCGAGAGAGAACCAGAACAAACATCTGATCCTAGACCCAGTCAGCAGGGAGGATGCAGGAAGCTACTCCTGTGCTGTGAAAAGCAACAAAGACATCAGCTCTGCTCCAAAGACTCTCACTGTCCAAAGTACTACAGGAACACGGATACGAGCAGCTGCAGGAGTTTCTGCAGCTCTGCTGGGTTTAATACTTCTCCCTATCACTGTCTTCTTGTGTATTAGGTGAACATTATTGTGTTATCTCTAAGACCAGTCATGTTTAAACTTTATTTGTTTTTGTACAACAGGACTTCCAATCCATAAACTTTACAGAATTTCAGAGACATTGCAGCAATATGAATGTATGTGTGTGTGTCAGGTTGTGTCTTAGACTCCACCTTTCTCAGAACATCTCATGCTGCCCCAGGTGTGGGGGCCTATTTCACCCTACCATGCTCCCTGCTGGTGGCTGGTGCCCCACCCGCCAGCTGCTGCTTGGTGTGGCCTGGTCCCCCTGGCTGTGTCCAGGGCCTGCTGGGGTGGGGGCCCAAGGGTCTTCTCTTTAACATGAATTTATGATCACTGTCTCGTCTCATCAGATGAACCTTGATCTCATTTATGAAAACATCTCAGCTCAGTCAGCAGGGCAGGATGATCATCACTACAGCAGACTGCACTTCAGTGAAAACCACACAGCTGACCTCTACTCCACCATCGAGCCACTGTGTGCTCAATAAAGAAACGTTTGTTAATATGGTGATTTTTTTCTCCAATGATAAACGTTTACCATCACAGCAAAGACACTGCAGCTTCTTGATCCATCAGTGGATTATGCTCACTTTATTGGAATATAAATTACAGGAGAAATAAGTTGAAATTGAAATCCAATTGAGATTGAAAAGCTCTAATCTTAAGCACTTTACTTTGTGTGCTTCTGATGCCATTAATGAAAACATCAAAGCCATTGTGTCTGCAGGTTTCTCTTCTGTTAGGTTTTTGTCTGTACCACAAAATAACCACTAACAGTGTCACATGTCTCTGCTCTCACTGTCAGCACTGTCAGGTTTTAGCCATGTCACATGTTTAACTGAGCTGCTTTGAATGTAGTTTGTCTGGAGAAAGACTCAGAAAAATCAAATCTCTTTTCAGCCTTTCAGGTAGGAGTAATGAAAATGATGTTTCTGGAATGTAGAAATTATGCATAATTTTACTCATTAATTTATTTAAGTTTATAATTTGATTTGATCTGTATGACCTCTGAATTGTATTAAAGTACCAGATTTGTATCCTTAACACTAACGTGCTTTCTTCACACATGAAGTCCAATATTCTACAGTGAGAAAGATTATCGACAAGTGAAAAACATTCAAAACTGGCTTCTGACTATAACATGCTGCTGTGCAGTGCAACTAAGATGTCCTAACCTACCAACAACTGTACCAACCTGATTTAAGCTTATTTCAAATACAATGATCAAACAAAATGAAGTATATACATAATATGTGTAACGGGGTTCAGTGACCTTCCAGTCACTGAGGTGGCCATGGCCCTCACAAATTACTGTAAGTTATTACAGTAATTTGCCTTTACCCAGGGGATGCCATACCCTGCATTTACGGACTTCCTAAAATCCACAAGGAAGCTGTCCCACCCAGACCCATAGTCAGTAGCATAAACTCAGCCACTTATAACATTGCTAAACACCTTGCTACCATCCTTGCACCTCTCGTGGGGAACACCCCACACCACATCAAGAACTCCACCGACTTCACCGACAAGGTCCAGAAACTTACCCTGGATCCAGATGAAACCATGGTGTCCTTTGATGTAGTCTCTCTCTTCACTTGCATACCCACCACGGAGGCCGTGGAGACTGTCAGAAAACGACTACAAGAA